ACGTCAAAGCAAATGATTGATGCAAAATGCAAGCCAGCAGTGTTAGTAATACTCTCATGACAATCATGCTAAATCAAAGGAGCGCCGCTGCTAATAAATAATGTGTATTTAGTATTCACATGCCATCGTTTCAATTATTATGAGCATGGTTCAGATGTTCTTCTTCTACTTTTGATCGGTCCTTAACAAGGACCAGATACTATTCACACTGCCTTCAACAGGAGTCAGATGCCAGCCAACGGGAGAACAATCTGACCCTGAGAAATACACTTAAAAAAATGTCTGTGAGTTTGAGAATCCAGGGGCAGATTCTCATCCCTTTCCTCACATTGAGTAGTAGTTTACTCCGGAGGCAGCAGTTCCGTGCAAGGCTGGAGGAAAGTACGACTTGGTGTGAGAAAGGACCATATAATCAGGTCCTATGTCAAGAAGGTAGGACTTCCTCCTTGAGAAACCATGTTTGACCATGCCTACAGGGAGTTAAATTCTGATCGCTGCTATAAGCAGTGTAAATCTGGTCTACTGTCTTGGGAATTACATTAGTGAAGAGTCTCACTAGTAGCCCTGTTAGTCTGTAACTTTATAAACAACGAATAGCCCCGTAGCACCTTAGAGACTAACAGATTTTTTTATATAGATAGATAGAGTATCACGAGCTTTCGTGGGAATCTGATGAAATGAGTTTTACCCTTAAAGCTCATGATAACGCTATATTTTTATTAGTAAAGAGCTACTCTTGCTTTTATTTTTTGGTACTGTTGGAGTGTGTTAAATTGAACGCCTCCATTCTTACAGAAACAACATGCGAATGTACCTGCCTCTGAGCAGATGTTAACACATGGCAAAGCCAGCCGCACTGTAAATCAATTAAAATTAATGGAAACTGACAATGTAAACAGTAACAGAACAAACGCACATTTATTCCTTTCCTGACATGCGTTCAAGCCTACAGCATGCACAGGTGTATAATGACTTCCATATCCCTATTACAACTGAAGAGAAATGGATAAGAACATAAAGAATTGAATGGATTTGGGTGAAATTGACCGGTGGGAACAATGCATGAATGGCAACCACATTCCAGGAGCCACAGCTGAAAAATCAACAGACATTTTTCTCGCTGATTTTAATGACAGTGGTTACACCCGGGGTGAATTTAGTTTAACAGTGTAGGCATGCAATGCTATTGTATGGGTTGCAAAGTAAAAGCATTTCCTTGAGTCACAGAAGTCAGAGATGGGTCTGACTTCTAATAATAAATGCCCATAGCAGGTGGAGTACTACTTCAGCCTTCCAGTTAACCACTCACATCCCTAATAGTTACTGTAATTATTAAACAGCTATTTATAGGTAGAGAAAAAGATCTTCAGCTGTAGAAAACCACAGCCCTGATCAGATGGTACGAATGAATTAAGTTTCTTCTTAACATTTTCTTCCCCCATTCACACTGATTCTTAATGCATCAGTTTTTAAACTATTTCAGTGAAAATGGTTTGTGTTTGCACTCAATCGGTTCCCTGAAGCGCTGAGAATGCAAGCCCACACTAAAAGGAAAACGACTAGCAAACTGATCACCAGAACTGGGATGTGTGAAAGTAGCCAGCTAAGTTGAGAGAAATGAAACAAGTAAACTCTTAATATTTTAAAATAGTGGACAGTGAATTTGATTGACCCCTGTCCCCTCCCCACCACCTTTAAATAATTGAGGTTCAAGAAAGCATCTCTATTCTGGACAGAACATAAGCATGTGCTTAAAGTTAAGCATGTGCTTAAATTCTATCCTGAAGTTGTATCCTATAGAATGAGCAGCACAGAGGCAATTTTTAATTTTTTTTAAAACCCGACAACGTCCCTGTTAAAAAATGAGCACTGGATCTTAGACACATGACAGAAATTCTAATGCATTTCCTTGTTTGTTCCCAATTTACTTCTGGCTGACCACAATTCTGGTGTCCTCTTGCTTATAGTACAGAAAATTATTCACATGAGAAATAAAGACCGCTGAGACTGAGCCTTCAGAAAGAGTTGTCTACACTAATGGAAGGAATTCCCCAGACTTGTACAGCATCCCATATGACCATTTTTTTATATCCTTCATTTTTGTTTTTAACACACATTATACAGCCTACATCTGGGTTTTGGAAGAGGTGGCAATGTAATGGTTAGTTTCTAACCACTGATTATGTTAAGCAAATTGATACACAGGCGATAAAATAAATACTTCAGTTCATCAGCTGTCCATATGTCACTAGCATGCTGGTCTTGGATCTACAGTACAGACACTAAATCAATTATGCACTTGAGTCTTCTGGAATGACCACGTGCATTAAGATTAGACTCGCACGATGATAAGATAATAGGTGCCCGATTCTCAGAAGTGCTGAATGCCCATTAAATTTAATGTGTTTGGTCAGCAATTCTGGAAATGTAACCCCTTGGGTGACTGCCCCACCGCTTTCAAAAGAAGCGGGTGCAAGCAAGAAATGACCAATAACATTTACTTAAAGGGGTGGGAGATTAAGTGAAATAGCATCTTTTCCAAGCTGTCTTCCACTAAGAGAAAAAACTAATGTTTATCGGACCAAATGATGAAGATAAAAAAACATAAGCAGCATTACTGTTTTTCTGCATGCAGCACACAGTAAACCTGTGGAACTCCTTGCCAGAGGATGTTGTGAAGATTAGGACTTTAACAGGGTTCAAAAAAGAGCTGGATAAATTCATGGAGGCTTGGTCCATTAATGGTTATTAGCCAGGATGGTTAGGAATGGTGTCCCTAGCCTCTGTTTGTCTGGAAATGGATGACAGGAGAGGGATCACATGATTACCTGTTGTGTTTCCTTCCTCTGGGGCACCTGGCATTGGCCAGTGTCAGCAGACAGGTTGCTGGGATGGATGGACCTTTGGTCTGACCCAGTATGGCCATTCTTATGTCCTGTAAAACTGTAGTGTTTTGAATCAACAAACCTATGGTATTTTAGCATATGGTGATGTCTGTTTGCATTTCCATTATAAAAATCAGCTATATTGGGTTTAAAACTTAAACACATAGCTTGTTCATTCAAGAAATTTATTCCAGAATAAGGCAGGGATATAAATATAAAATGAAAAGCTAATTTGAAATAGATTTATATTTGGACATGGTATTCCAGAATCTGATGTTCTGAAATCTTTGCAGTAATTTTCCTTTTTTTTTTTTTTTTGGCTCGGCACAACTTTAAAATAGGAAGGCCTGAAAACCCCACAATTATTTTGGTTTCTCTAGAGCTGCTGAGGAGGGAGGAGGGAGCTTTTATAATGCTGGGAGAAAAGTAAAAAGGGTTGTTTTTAAAACTGTATCATCAACAAGGCTCATGGCATATCATTTTTAGGTAATAGTTCTTATCCTTATTCGTATTTATATAAATTATAAAGGGGTGAGAGGAAATGAAGGAGGAAGGCATGGCGTAGGCTAAGGGGCTTCAGACATTTATTCTTAAAGACTTTTGAGGTAGAAGAATTGTTCTCCGGAAATCACAGGATATTGTACAGGTGCCAAGTAGACTTCAACAATACAAGTCAGAACTATTTTAATAATATCTGCTCTCTCTCACTCCCCCTCCCCGTGTCCACGCCCTACCCTTCCGGAATGCGTTAAATTTGCAGAGTATTAGCACGCTGCAGTATGCTGTATTTCAGAGCCACAGGATCAACCTAAATATCAGTCCTTGGAAGCAAAATCATTGTTGCCCCTTGCTGGAAGGTGAGGAGTGGTTCTCCATTTAGACTCAATAACAAGAGTCAGATAGAAGGGTGTAGGAATGGTGCAAGGTGCCTTCAATTTCCACTGAAAACAGCAGCATTTGAGGGTCCCTCGCACCTTTCAGGATTAGAACTGAATTGCGCAGACTAAGTGGCATCCTGCGTCCAGCGGGCCTGTGCATTTTTGCGCTCCAAAAAATGAAACTAACCTCCCCTGTAGACAAGGGCCGGGAGGCGTTTTCATTTCAAACGCTACAACCTGAGCTATTGAAAGTCTTAAAGAGAAGTAACATCCCAGTACCCAGTGGTGTTATAGGCGTCAGCCCTACATAGGGCAGATTAGATAGGCATAACAATCTAGGGAGTTGCCCATTTATTCTGCTTATTCGGAAGCTGAAAATGAACCTCTTGGAGCATAATCCCATACCTCATGTACCCCTTATGGCTCCAATAAAGACAACAGGAGTTTGGAGGCAAAAGCAGGCAGGAGTATATCTTGACCAGGCTCGTTAACCCACAGAGGCACATTACTAATGGAATTACCACACTCATCAGGAACGACCCTTACATTTTCAAGGGTGGCGTGCAATGTACCTACATAGAAATGGAGTGGCAACCCAGGAAGGGGGTAATTCCCCCATGTATGGCTAAGCGAGGCTGTGTCTGAACCCCATGGCAGCAAGGGCATTCAGAGGAAACCGCTCCCCCCCATGGCGCACTCTTTGGAAAGCTGAGCTAAAGAAAAGGCTCCATCCAGGTCTTGCTTGTTAGTCTTTAAAGTGCTACATAGTCCTGGTTTTTGTTTCAGCTACACCAGACTAACATGGCTCCATTTCTATCATGATTTCAACTGGCCTTTTGCAGCCCCCAGCGGGTATCCGCTATAATATCCGAGCGACACCCCTCCTGAGGCCGGCTGGAAGGGTTCCCAGGGGTCTTGCCTGCCCATGGACTAGCATGGGGCTGTCCTGTCGCACTGTTTAGACGCTCTGGGCTCCTGTTTTACAGGTGAATCCAGACTTTGCTTTGAAGACTCCCCTCCCCCATCATCCAACTGGGGTTTCTCTCCCTCCACCTTTCTTACCTTTGCTGCTGGCAGCACCCTGCCCTTTGCAGACCCGGGCTGGGGATTGCAGCAGGGCAGGGCTGGGGCACTAGCCGGGGCTCAGCTGAAGAAAGGGGCAAGCTCCATGAGTATTAAGCACCCCCAGTCCCTTTCCTGCCCCCCAACTCGCCCCAGATCCGACCCGGCACGTTACCGTGTGCAGGCTGCCGCCACCGCTGCTGTTGCTCGGATCTCGTCTGGCTGGCCGGCGAGCCGGTCCTAGGGGGAGGAGTAAAATAGGGTTTGTCACATGCTGCCGATTAGCCACGCAGCAGCTGCCGCGGAGTCCGGCCCCTGGTCAGTTTCGGTCCGGCGGCGGGGGGACCCTGGGCGGCGGCGGCGGGGGGCAAGAGGCAGGCACCAGGGGACCCAATGCAACGCTGGGGCCAGGCCGGGGGAGGACGAGGTGGTCTCGGCACACTTGGAAAGGCGCAGCAAACTCCAAGCAAGGCGGCAAGGTTTCGTGAGCACGGAAGAGAGCCGGGATTTCAGCCCTGGGGCCTGGAAGCAGGTGATCGTGTACCAGAGAAATAACAAAAATAAAAAAAAAAAACTATGAAAAAAATCCAACCCCCCAACCACATCCCCCTGGTCATCTCCAGCAAATCAGCACTGTGCAGGGGGTCAGACTAGATCAGTGTTTCCCAAATGGTTTTCCGGGGAACCCTGGGGTTCCGTGAGAAAGTTCCATTACAATAACATGTTGTTATTAAAATAATAATAAATATTAAGAATTTTATTGAAACTAGTTTTCATTGGTGTTGATCTCATGACCTTGCTTAGCATTTGTTGTTTATTATCCTTATTTATTTGTGATCGACTTTTTCAGCTCCATATATAAGACTGCTATTAGGGGTTCCACAAAATTCTTTTGAGTTTAAAAAGGTTCTGTGGCCAAATAAAATTGGGAAACACTGGACTAGATGATCATAATGGTCCCTTCTGACCTTAAAGTCTATGAGTCTATGAGCGTTGATTAAGGCTTTGAGAGAAAAAATAAAAATAAAAACATAAACAAAAGGTCAAGTGGAAGCCAGTGCATCCCGTGGGGGCTTTGGGCAGGGGCCAAACAAGTTGTTTGTTTAGTTTAGAAAAGAGAAGATTGAGGGGGAACATAATAGCAGTTTTCAGATATCTAAAAGGGTGTCATAAGGAGGAGGGAGAAAACTTGTTCATCTTGGCCTCTGAGGATAGAACAAGAAGCAATGGGCTTAAACTGCAGCAAGGGAGGTTTAGGTTGGACATTAGGAAAAAGGACCTAACTGTCAGGGTAGTTAAACACTGGAATAAATTGCCAAGGGAGGTTGTGGAGTCCCCATCTCTGGAGATATTTAAGAGTGGTTAGATAAATGTCTACCAGGGATGGTCTAGACGGTATTTGGTCCTGCCACGAGGGCAGGGGACTGGACTCGATGACCTCTGGAGGTCCCTTCCAGTCCTAGTATTCTATGATTCTATGATTCCTTCTGTTCCCTGATGGTGAGGAAAGGGACCAGCCAGCAATGTCCCCGTATGAATCTGGGGGGAGCTTCAGTCCCCCGTGCATCCTGAAGGGTGGGAGAGGAGGGGGTTGAAAGGTCGGGGCTGTGGCAGTCCCAGATGGGGGTGGGGGGGAGGCACGCTCCCAACTAGCCCTTTTAACTTGCCTGGTTTGATGAGAAGCCATCAAATGATTTTAGGAATCATTAAAAAAGAGATAGAGAATAAAAAAGAAAATATTTTATTGCCTCTGTATAAATCCCTGGAACACCCACATCTTGAATACTGTACAAATGTGGCTGCCTCATCTCAAAAAAGATATCTTGGCATCGGAAAAGGTTCCGAAAAGGGCAACAAAAACACCCCTTGTCCTGGCACAGCCCAACACTGGCCTTGCTTTAAGTCATGACAAGAGGGAGCTGCCTGCCGAATTTGGTGGTCCTACCATTTCGGAGGAGTTCTTGCACAAACAGACATAGAAACAGACTTGCAAGTTGCCATAGTTGAGCAAAAACACTTCCAAACCCAAACCAACCAAACAAAACCTGCAGCATGAAACCACCGAGCTAGAATTCGTATGCAAAATTGACACCGTCAGAATGCGTCTGAATAGGGCCTGGGAATAGCTCACTCATTACAATATGTAAATTTTCCCTTTAGCTATTCCCACCCTCTTATCGCCCTGATTGAATTAGCCTCATTAGCACTGATGTAACCCATCCAATTTCTGTCGTTCTGTATATACTCCTGCCATCTGATTCTTTCGCTTCATGCCTCTGATGAAGTGGGTTCTAGCCCGTGAAAGCGTTTGCCCTAAAAAATAGGTTTCTCTTTAAGGTGCCACCAGACTCCTGGTTGTTTCTGCTGAAACAGACCAAAGTGGCTAATTAACCTCTATGAAAGTGGTTATAGGAGGTCACATTTGTTCTGCTGATTTAGAGCAAGTTTTCATTGCCTTCTCGGCACCTTGTTTGTTTCACAGGCATGATTCAAATCATGCCTCCTCTGATCACATTCCCTTTGGTTCTAGAGTGTTACGTAAGCAGAAACAGTGTCAGCCGTTCTGCTCAAATCGGAAAAGAGCCCCAGGCCTATTCATTACCAAGCTGAGACACATCATCTGACATGGTTTTCCTGCCATGATTTTGCAGTTAGAAACAGTGCCTGCTACAGTCGGAAAAGTGGTGCTCGAAGAGGCGTAGGCAGGGGAACCGGGATCCGGAGTGTTACAGCCAGACGCCTGCGAACGCTCCCTGCTGGTTCGAACGCTGAGCGATGTTCGCTACGCCACAGCCAGATGTACCCCGTGGAAAATCTGGGTTGTGGCTTCCACAGCAATGCCCCCGCCCCCCGCCCTCTAGCACAATTAGAGAGAAAAACGAAGCTGCATGAAGGAACAAAGGATGTAATCAACAGAGACAGAGCAGTGCCCTGTTATGTAACTGGAGTCTAGGGCCAGCTCCTGTTCCCACTGAAACTGGTGGGACAAACGGGGGTGACTTTCAGAGACGCAGGCTGGGACACAGAGCTCGGAGTGGCTCTGCAGCCTCTGGCCCACGAAGCGGGGTTGGTTGGAGGCGCAGAAGCCAGCCCCGTAGAGGGAGACGTGCTGGGCATTCACGGCCTAAGGGCCAAACCTGCCCCTCGCTGTGACCCCCATGCCCTGAGTCGCAAAGCCCCACCCCCACCTTTGGCCCTGCCGCCCCTGTTACGCCGGAGGAGCGGGACTGTGGGTGTAAAACTACGTGGGCAGGGACCCCTGACTGCTTGCAAGCCCAATGCTGCCCTTTTAGGGTCATTTTCTGTCTGCAGTGGGTATAATTCAAGCTGGCAGATGGTGAAAATGGTTGTAATTTTACCTGAAAGGGAATGAACAGGAAGGAGGGGGGCAGGGAGTGTTGTAGTAACGAGATCTTCATTAAGCATGCTGTGTGGCCCCAGCAGTACCACGCAGAGGTGCCAGAGTTTATGCACAGGCAGCCTGTTCCCAACAGCTCCCTGAATTAGGGCTCTTAGGCCAGGTCTACACTGGACCCAGCAGCTCAGCTTAAGGAATGCAACTCCACCTCTGTAGAACGCATACCTGGAGTCGGCTTACTTTAAGCCGAGTTTAGCGGCATCCCCACGACGGGAGGCCAGTGGGAGCAAACGTTCCTGTCAGCTTCCCTTCCTCCTTGCAGACGCAGAAGTACTGGACGATGGTGGAGGCACCCTCTGACTTTGATTTAGCAAGTCTTAACTAGACCTGCTAAATCAAACTCCGGAAGATCAATCTCGGCAGTAGTGATCTTCTGTTGAATGTAGACAAATCTTAGGGCTGGTTTACATAGGGAACTTACATTGGCATAGCTACCCCCCACGAATCCCACCCCTGGGAGAGAGACACAGCTATGCCAATCTCACCCCAGGGGGTAGAATTCTTCCTTCAACCTAACTTCTGCCTTTCGGGGAGGTGGGTTTCCTGCACGCAGAGCATTCGCCATCACAGAGGAACAAAATGTGCAGCTCACCCACATAGGGAGCCCATCACATGAGCCAGCCCAAACCGCTCCCGGCAAGGGCATGGGAGGAGAGACTAACTGGTGTCCCGACACGTGCGGGCCGTGGCTGATTGATCTGGTCACTCATGACTTTCCATTCGGCTGGCTGCACTTTGAAAGGGCACCAAACAAGGGGCATGTTTTCCTTGGGGGGTTACCAGCAGGAGCAGCTTTCCCCCGACCTACTGGATTGGCGAAGGCAGCGCGTGTCCGGAGCACAGACGAAGGGGGAAACTGGCATACGCAGTGTAGAATCACAGCACACTGGACCCAGAAGGGACCTTGAGGGAGCAAGTCCAGTCCCCTGCCCTCGTGGCAGGACCCAGCACCATCTAAATCATAGGATCCCAGGGCTGGAAGAGACCTCAGGACGGCATCGAGTCCAGCTCCCTGCCCAAGGCAGGACCAACCCCAACTCCATCATCCCAGCCAAGGCTTTGTCAAGCTAAGACTTAAAAACCTCTAGGGATGGAGATTCCACCCCCTCCCTAGGGAACCCAGCCCAGTGCTTCACCCCCTCCTAGTGACAGAGTGGGGGAGGTCTAGGTTGGATAGTAGGAAAAATGAATATCTAACCTAGATCATCCCTGACAGGTGTCTGTCCAACCTGCTCTTAGATCTCTCCAGTGATGGAGATTCCACAACCCCCCTAGGAACTTATTCCAGTGTTTCACCCCCCTGCACAGTGAGGAAGTGTGGCACAGCATGTGGGGAAAGGAAAGGAAACAGCCAGGGGGGATGTCCTCTCTCTCCCGATTCAAATCGCGTCTTGCTTAACGCAGCTGGAGCAACCTTCTCTCCTACACCCACGTCAGTAGAATGAGCCGAGGAAAGTCAATTTCACGCTCGCTGCGGTGCCAGGAAGCCCGTCGGTGGCATGCGAGAGCCAGGAAGCATTTACACCTTGTTCCAGTAGCATAAAGGGTCTGAGAAGCCACCTGCTTATCAATCTGCTCATGTCATGTGCCAGGCTAGCTACTTCGTGAGCTGTGGCTGGAGGCCAGCCTGGGAGCTGGGCATTTTCCATGCTCTGCCCTTGCTCTGCTCCGTCTCTCTTTGGCCTGCCTGTGTCTGCCTCTTAGCTATAGAATGGGGCGCACACTGGCTCGCCGGCATGTTACAAGCATTGATTCATACATTTGGAGGGGGCTCTGAAGAGGTAGGCTGGGATGCAAAGGGGCAGTAGGGACATAGGCCTTTGACTCTCACTGGCTGGAGGTGGCACTTGAAAAATGCCACCCAGCAAGTGCCAAATACTAAAGATTTATATCCAAGTTGCAGGCTGGCTGGACCCGAAGGGAAGGAGGGGGAGGGCTCTTCTAGGGATGCACAGGAAATAAAGCCGCAGCCTTCAACATGCGTGACTCAAAATATGAGCAGGAGATTCGCTAGGATGATAAATGTGCCAGAGATAAGGGGGGGAGGGCAGAAAGAGAAATGGTTGTGGGGAAGCGTGCCACGGGCAGACCTGTTTTTAAAGTGGTGCCTTGATTCATTAGGGGAAAGTGGCGTTTCCCGTCTGCCAAGGGCCATGTGCCAAGGGTCTAGCCAGGTCCCCCTGCAACATGCTCAAAAGAGAGAGGTCCCTCTATCGTCGTTCTTTCATTGCTGATGGCAAGCTGCAGCGCCACC